GATACTGAGAAAATTCTTACTATTTTCGGAGATATCCTGAAAAACAAAATTTTTTCAAAATCCTTTTATTTTTTACCGAAGTTATTTAAATGATATTTCAAAATAAATGGCTACTTTTTTCCTTCTACAAGATGCTAGTTTTAAATTTTAAGTCTGACGTTTCGTCTCCAGTTAACAACCATCATCAACTTTGTGTATTTCCTAAAAGAGCAGGGGCGATTTCTTTTTAATTTGGTAACAAAAGATAAGCCTAGTTACGAAGATTTTTGGAATACACCACAGTACTTAAAACGGCAACTACAAATCCATGGCGTTACACAGTTGGGAATTCCGAAGACTGGATGTGGTCTTGATAAGTTAGACTTAAATTAATGCTCTCAGTTAGACTGTGTATACGAGCTCCATCTTGTTGAAAAAAAAACCTTCATGCAGAAAAAAAAATTTCTTATAGAATGTGGCCTGTAGAATCCATAATTTCAAACAGTTCCAAGATTGGGCTACTAGTTCAAAAGTTACAGCCCTTTGAATTTTTTTCTAGTCTATAACTTTTGATTGAGAAGTCTGATCGAAAAAGTACAAATTGATTTGGATTCTACGCACCCAAATTAATAAGAAAAAGTGTTTTCTCGAGATATTTTGGTGCAGTCGATTTTTGGTAAAAAAGGAAGGTAATAACTACCTTTTTTTGAGCCCCGAAGCAAAAATTGTCTCAGATCGACCCGGAAAAAAATTTCTTATAGAATTTGGCCTGTAGAATCCATAATTTCAAACAGTTCCAAGATTGGGCTACTAGTTCAAAAGTTACAGCCCTTTGAATTTTTCTTCGAAATTGGTTTCTAGTCTATAACTTTTGATTGAGAAGTCTGATCGAAAAAGTACGAATTGTTTTGGATTCTACGCACCAAAATTATTAAGAAAAAGTGTTTTCCCGAGAAATTTTGGTGCAGTCGATTTTTGGTAAAAAAGGAAGGTTATACACTGCCTTTTTTTGAGCCCCAAAAAAAATTGTCTCAGATCGACCCGCAAAAAAAATTTTCTTATAGAATGTGGCCTGTAGAATCCATAATTTCAAACAGTTCCAAGATTGGGCTACTAGTTCAAAAGTTACAGCCCTTTGAATTTGTTCTATAACTTTTGATTGAGTAGTCTGATCGAAAAAGTACAAATTGATTTGGATTCTACGCACCCAAATTAATAAGAAAAAGTGTTTTCTCGAGAAAGAAAATAACTATCTGACGCTGATCCTCATACTAACAGATTGACATATTCCGTGATAAATTATTTTTTTAGATTCAACAGTAATTATACAATTAATAGCTGTAAACAGATAAATATCCTTTCTTACTTTGTTAGTCACGTGTTTAGTATATAGGATCATATGAGCATCTAACATTACCTCCAAATAGCGTTTGATCTATGTACAATAATGCCTCTATGGTCCCATGTTTCATTACAGTGTAAAGGTTGACATGCAATAAATATATAGCTGGAAATGCAAATTTTGTCATAGGCTAGCCCATTGTACTGCTGCTAGACTATCTTTACGTGGAATCAAAGCTTAAATTGGACTCACAATATAAAAAATAATTTCTATTACACTCTTCACATTGAAACTTTGAGTTTATTTAGTCGTAAATTGCAAGTCTCATCATACATAAACGGCTTCGAATTGTAATCTTTTGCTTGTCATAGTGAATTGAAGTTATACCTGCTACCTAGGAGTACTTACATTTAATAGATCATTGTTAACCTCTCCCAGTACGCCTATAAAACACATCAATAGCGTAATTGATCGTGTCGCAGGAGATTCAAGACTTTTCTAAGAAAATTGCATTACCTACAAGCTGTTTGCGATACAAATGTAGCTAACCTCGAAAGAAGGTTTGATTATATTTTTAATTCCACGCATCGCTTCCTTTTTCGCCCTTTTCCATATTTATTTCTACATTCTCGTAGAAAGGACACGTGGAAATTACGACAAATGGTGACATCTTCAACAGATATTTTTTATTCGTCTAAAAAAGAATAGGACGATTTCCTCATTCAAGTGTTCCGGGTATTGCTACCGCTCGCATAACAATAAATGAATACAAATGACAGAAAACTTAATTTATGTATAAACCAAAATTGTGTTCGTATGTGGCGCCGCAATATCTTGTATGCGGAGTTCACGTACCCTCGAGGAATTAATTACACGAGTATTGGTGATGAAAAGTGGACTTTTTAGGTCGCGTTAATTGTTCTCCCTTAAACTGTTTGATTCCTATTGAAATGGCATCCCAGTTCACACGTTAATGTTTAAATTGTATAGACAGTCTAATTATCTATTATAGTTTCGGTTACATGCACGAGAATATATTCGTGCCTTAGAAACAACTTTAGAATTTCAATATGTTATTTCTCACGCAAAAATAATGGTTTGGGCGATCACCTACATTTTTCAAGACACAATTTCGTAGGTAACGCACGTAAACTTAACGGTTAATTGCAGAACGTTTAATGCATAAATGCACTTCATACATAATGGACATTTTCGTGAAGTATCCTCGAAAGATTAATACATATTATTACTAATACACGTTTTGTATGTAACGGATTCTATCGCTCTATAATTGCCGATGGGCCCATCTTTTTGTTATTTTGCGAATACCGTTACCGTAATAAAAAATTACGACTGTAATTGTCGAATTTGTGTTTACTAAATATACTTTAACCTGTCATTGCTTTGATGGATGGTTTGTTTAAATAACAGAATATTAACTATTTTATGTTTTTCAATTACATTTAAGTGAATATACACTATCATTAAATTCGGGTAGTCACGTTTGTAACACTTTGCTTTGCTTTATGGAAATGATTCGCCGTCTTTTTTATAGTCGATGGACCAGTCGAAAATTCCACTTATAGAGTGACGAAATAAACATCTGATCATTATTTTTAGGCTTTTTACTACTGGCTTATTATTTTTTTCATTATTGCTATCCACATCGATATGGTTGGTGGAAACCGCAAAGTTTTGGATTCTTCATTATTGCACACCAAGGAAGTTCCATTGGAAAACATCGCCATCTTATGTAAAACCAACCATGTGCATTACCTACTTCGAAAGATTTGCACCTGGAGATTTGAATATTGTTCCTAAATTGTTCAGTTCTACGTACATTCCTTTTGTCGTTACGAAGAATATTTTCCGATACTTCGATTTTGTCTGCGTTACTTCTGTCGTTACGAAGATTCAGTTTGATACGTTGTATCCTTCAGATTCGTTCTTTTTGTATATGAAGATATTGAGTTAATTCCTTTTAAATTGGAAATGAGTTTTTGAAGTTTAATACGAAGGAAAATTGAAATGGGAAATCATTGGAAAATTCTTCCTATAGGTTCTTATCCTAGTTAATATGGGATTGCATCGTCGAAAAACCCTGGTCACGTGCTCGACCGTTATGGTTTAGAATTCTGTTTATTAGTATGTACAGTGTTACGGGGCTTGTAGCTTGTATCATCTATACTCCGCGAAGTTCTATTTCGAATATCTTCGTAATCTTTTTTATCGAGCTATAAAATTAAACTCGAAAACTTTTGCAAGTTCTGAATCATTTTCAAATATCTTCTTAAAAGTTAAAACTTAATTAAGAGATTTTAATGAATCTTCTTTATCAAGCTATACGATTAAAAACAAAACCACAAGCAAGTTGATATTTACATTTAATAAACTCGAAGTTCTATTTCGAATATCTTTCTAATCTTTTTTTACTGAGCTATAAAAATTTACTCGAAAGTTCTAAAACTTATTTCAAATACCTAAAGAACCTCAAAATTTTGTTTAAGAGACAGAAAGATTTTAATGAATCTTTTTCATCGATCTAAAAAATTAAACTTGAAAATGTTCTGAAACGTACAATTAAAAACAAAAACCATAGGTCGAGCACGTAACCAAGGATTTTTCACCGGGGAAAAATCCCAGGACACAACCTTACATCACAAACCAAGAGCACTCTTTAGTTACGTAAGCGTGAAATCCCAGACCACCAAGTTTTTAACGGTTTGGTACATTTTTGTTGAAATATGCCAGAACATGTCGGTACTCCGATCTGAGACCATTTGCACCAAGAATTTAAATATAAACATTTTATCGAGTGGTGCAAATTTGATCAAAACCCTTACAAAGTTCTTGTTACGTCAGAAATATGTAGAACAATATTTAATATTCTAAGAAGATGCTATGACTATGTATTAATTTAACTTTACTTTCATCGCCCCCCATTATTACATATCATTTTGTGTACCGTATAATAAACAAAAACAATAATTTTATGCATGGCCCCGTATTGTATCCGAAGCACATATTTACATTTCTAAATTTCCATTCTAAATTATTTACTTTCGCCGTGTTTTAATTTGTTTTCCTAATGCATTTTAATTCCGCGAAGAACGACTGTATTTTACATATTACTCCTGAATATTTGTCTTGAAGTCATTCGTTCTGGGCTTAATTTACTTTCGTTTGTTGGAATCATTTAAAATACACAGCATTCTTCTATATTTGTACATATTAAATATGCAAATATGCGGAAGACCCGTTAGGAATATTGCAACAAAGTTTTACTTGTCCGTTTAAATTGAATTCCCCCGTTAATATTGTACTTTATTAGGGATTGCGTAATTTATGTTAAAAAGTGCGTATCCAGTAATAAATTGTCTTTTTTGTGTTATTAGCAAGGCTTTATAATCATCCATATTTCTTTAAGGGTGTTGCCGTTTATGTATTTACATTAGAGCGTGCTCATTCATTAGTGAAGAGAGGAAATCAATAGACAGGGATGTAATTTTTTTTACTACAATTCCCGTTAGATTTTCGCATTTAAACACGTCAAATGAGATGATTAACGTTGACGGTGCATGTGCATACCAATGCATGATAAATCGTTAGTTGTAGCAAACTTTTAGCGAATACGTGTATATTAAGTGCCCGATTAAGCTTGGGATTAATAATAACTTACCAGGTAGAACATCAGCATTTGCACTAAAGATAATGCAAAGTCCTGTTTCATAATTGACGGCGCGGCAGCTATCATTTCCTTGGCACATTTCTAGGCAGTCCGTTAACATCAGCGTTCCAGGGATCGAATCTAAGACGTTCCCCGGGGCAGAGAATACGTAACCTGTGACCAGTTCAAATCCTATCATATCGGGATCACATTCGTCCATAGGTCCTGGTAAAGGTGCACCGACCTTTTCGGGTACATCAATAATTTCGCTGTCCGATGACGTCGATTCGTTTTGACCAGCCGCTGCTGTTATAAGTACCACTAGTGTGACTATTTTCCAACTCATTGTCGATTTTTAATCTGAAAACACAAAAAAAAACATTGAATTAGGTCAGGCAGTTCAACCACAATGCAGTTAGTAATTTTTGCACTGTCCCGTTAGATGTGCACATTTCATGGGAATTGCGTCCAATTGATCTGATAATGTGGAATATTTGAATGCAGATGAATTTAAATACCGAATCTATCATTTGCAGATGAATATCGGTAACGCATAACGTACGCTAGCAACTTAATGCCAATAGCAATTACCACAATTGCATAAAACAATATGCAAATTGTATATCTTTCAACCACAAAAACCCACAAAGGTTCTTGACTTGACCTCCATTCGAGCGATGGATAAAATACACACTGCCAGAATTAGACAACACTTACTCTCAATTAACACGATGGACTCAGATGATAATTCAGAAGCGGGGCTGGTAGTGATCACAGAACTAGATTTCGCACCTAAGCACCATGTCACCCTAATGCATGCTACGAATATATTTGCATACGCAAATAATTTACTCGTTATCTATTGTGAAAAAACAGATTGCGAAACCGGGCACGATTTGAAACTGAAATTTTAATGCCAAGTATCCGAAATTAATTGTAATTTTATGAAAGTCGTAACTTCACCTAATTGGCACCCCATCAGTTTGGGTAACTGGACTGGTAACAAAGCGTTTTTTTTTTCTAAAGGAGACGCGATAATTTCTTGACTTGGCAAAATTGTATTTCGGTAACATTGACAATTATTATATAATTGTCATGCACCATTTGCGTATTGATCATTGACCTGTATTTGATGAACGAGCCTTTTTGTGTTAAGATGCATTCTATAGATAAGATTTGTGTTTTCGACAACCGCCCGCAAAAAAAACACTTCCTTGACAGTTTACAAAAGTATTTCTTGTTGTTACTATCCCGGATCAAGTATAAAAGTTGTCACTTTAGAAAACTAGTCTGTTTTCATGTCTTAACCAATTAAAATTTCTACGATAAAATATACCTAACCATCATATGTGTTTAAAAATTATCATAAAAGCATACAAATGATTTTCATGCTTCTTTCTTGCAATGAGACAATATTATTTGTGCGAAAAAGTGAATCAAAATATGCCCAGCAATGAAGGATAGAATTACTCCCCACATGTGCTTAAACAGAGTTTGTACTTTCAGCGACTCTAGTAAAGCATCAGATCATAACTTTTTCTTCATGGAACTGTAAGTACCTTTAAAGTTGTGTATTTCTCTCCTTTGCCAACAAAACAGTAAGCTAGTTAGCTAGACCTTTTCTTCTTCGCTCAGCTTTCGTCTGTTTCAGAATCTTTTTGAAAACATTTTTAAAACCTTGTTCTTTCATTTTGGAAAAAATCTTAAAAAACAATCCTAGAAGGTTATATTGGAAACCTTCTTGAAAACACCTTCATAAAGATCTTATGAAACCTTCTGAAACGTCTACCCGAAATCTTTAAGGCTAACCCTTTAGAATCTAAACCATTCCGAAAATTTCTCCTTGGAAATCTTCTTTGGAAGTTTCTTCGAAATATTCCTACAATTCTATACAAAGAATCCTTTTGGAGAAACCCTCAGGAATCTCATTAGAAACCTGAATAATCTTATTGGAAATCTAAGAAATTTATTTCGAAATCTTCTTAAGTGGGCTAGTAATAGAGACTCGCCTCGGAAAGATGCTCAGGAAATCATCCTAATAATTCATATTCGAGTTTTTTTTATATCAATTCCGATGTGAAACTTGAACAGTTTGACCTGTTTAGGGATCCTTAGGAATCGTCTTCCTTCACTTCATCAACAAGTTATTAGAAAGCTTCTTAGAGTGTTTAAAACAATCTGTCCTTCTAGAAAATTGTACTGGAAATTTTATATTAGAAATAGTATTGGGGCTTCAGAAACTTGGGAAGCTTTTAAAAAAAAATTGAAAATTGAAAATATTGAAGTTATTTTAAATTCAAATGGTTTTAGATCTTTAGAAGCCTTCCTAGGAATCTTTAGGGTAAACATTGTCTCAGAATGTATGTACGAAACTCTTCGAAATTGGCTTCAATTATCTTCAAATAGGTTCTCTTGAAAATGCGCTAATGTAGATTGAATTTATTGTATCCGGATTGTTCAAGTCTACTAACCGCCGATTAAGTTTATAAATGAAGCCGTAAAAGAAGACTTTATTAGTTAGAAGTGCATATTTTACATTACAAAATGACTTCGTTCAAGTAGGCCTTAAAGGTTTCGATTGCCCACATTCATAAAACCGATTGCACCTTCAAGAAAGAGATTAAAATAAAATATGTATTGGATGGTAATTAAAATCCTTTTGTTAAAAGTTAAACTCGGGCGGTTACTGCTTTTGTGACTGATCTAGCTACCCCTGAAGAGTAGCAAGTGCTGCTTATTAAGTCGTTTTTAAGATCGTTAACATTTAAGGGCGTTAAACTTTTTATCCGCGCACCGACGGTTTTAATTAGTGCCCGCTTATAATAAGGTAAGCGCGTTTATTTTACCTTCATCAATTTATAGGAGAATAAGACTATTAAAACCGTACCACGCAAGCAAACAACAATTACAATGCAATTTGCATCACTATTTTTGCATGTACAAGTAACATTCCGTTAGAAGAAAGTATTTTTAATAGTTCCGTATTGCGAACTCCTACTTTGAATAGATCTGTATCACCCTAATTAATTTTACCAACATTTCGTTCCGCAAGAAATGTCAACTCAAAGAATCGACAGTGAATTCAAGAGAATTTACAGACGAGGTGTTTAATGAATTAAAAGTTGATACGCGATCTGTGACGACAGTTTAAAATGCTTCTTATTCTTTAACTGCAAAAAAACCGTAAATAGTCTAATCTAAACGTTAAATGTTTGACTTGTTTTTAAACCCCCATGTTTCTGGCACGTATCCAAATTTGTAAAGTTTATAAATACCAGACATTTTTTGGTGGTTTGTAGAACTGTCAAAAGTTCTTATACTGAACTTGTTGGACAAATTTATCAGTTTTCCAGTTGGTATGTACTTTGTAAATTTTTATTTTAGCTGCGGTTACTTGTCGAGTAAGTCCTTATGTTGATTTGTTAAATTTCTAAACTTCTCTGGCGACGAACTATAAAGTTCGTATTTCCACCATATTAGTAGTGACCTGTGTTTTTAAGAGTGAATGCTTATTTTATTTTTATCAGTTAGGTCCACAAATGTATCAAAATTACGAGCATTAAAAGCTCGTTTTATCAGCGGTAGGAATCCAAATATTATTGTGGTGCCCCCTTCACTCTTTAAATTAAAATTTACACATAAATTACGAGCGTTTACTAGTGCAATTTTTGAGTCCCGCCCTTAAACGGCCAAACAGATTATAATCGTTGAAATTGAGTTGCCTTTAATCATTCAAAATTAATTTTTTTTTGTCTGAATTATTTTAGCTTCCACCATGAGTGTATTCTCATTTATTTATCGGGTCTCGCAGTTATCTAACACCCAAGAAGTTGATTCTCTTTCATTTAAATCCAAGTTTACCTCTTGCTTGATTGATACGCACTTACGCTACATTATAAGGGTAGTGCTCAGTACTAAATGCAACAAACAAATATTCTTTCGAGTATGCGAAGAACAATATCCTCTAGGGTTGAAAATGCAATTTACGGGAAATTCGTCAGCGAGGAGCAATCCTGTGGTTCAAACCAATTTGCTTCTGGATTACTTTTTCGTTATTATCTACTTGGATATTACCTGGATGACTTCCCATTTTTACCTGGACCCGCTATTTGGGTGAGACTGAAAATTTACACCTGGAGATTTGAATTATTGTTCCTGAATCCCAACTGCAAGTAATACGGAACCTTTTGGAGATTATTGCTTCGGTATTTCTAATCCTACGTACTTTACTTTTATTTTTTGTGTTGTTATCTGTTTAAGATAAGGCAGAAAAGCGCCCTTCTGAGCTCAAAATACCGTTACAACGAGTTCATTCCCTGAAAATTGAGTTGAATTTTATACATTTATCAAACTAGCCTCGATTGTGACAGCAATTCTTGTTTGTGTTACACCCTGTCAATTATCTTCTTTCTTTAGCTTATCAAGACCAGAACAAGGATCTCTCACTCTGCCTTATTCCCTCTTTCGCTCTTCTCTTTTGAAATTTGCTAAAGACTAAGTGACGCCTTTTGCAGTAAACGTTAGTCCTACCAACTATGATTGTAATGCAGTAGGAAGTTTGCCTAGTGATTGGGTAATATGGAGGGTCAGTTCTTTGGAGCAAATACCAGTGTAAAGCCATTTCTATTATTTATTTTGTCAAAAGCCCTTTCTATATCTACTCCGAGGAAAATTCACGACAAATTCAAGGACCCTTGTTAAGTCCGGAATCATATCACCTATTTTGAATTCAAATTTAATTTATGAATCCCGCATATCCTATCCCAATCCTGCACGAGGAGAGGGAGTGCCGGAAAGAGAGCAGTGCAGCGCGCGCGCTAGAGCAACAAAGTTGGTGCCAATAAATACTGGTTCTTTTGGGGAATTGGGGTAAGTGCAGGTCCTTTTACTACGCAAACAACCCTGGACCTCACATAACTGACTATCCGTTGAAATAGCCCCGTACTCCTACTTCTAACCCTCTATTTCCGTAATAAAAGGCTGCAGTATTCGCCTTAAAAAATTCTTCTCTAAGAAGCACAATTTCTAGGTAAATTCACTTTTTGCAATTCTGTAACGTTCATTACTTTTATATGGATGATTTGATATTACCGAGGATATTACACAAAATTCAATTGAAGCTACAAAGTCACATACTAGGGAAAGAATTTGCATGGCATTTGGATTGGAAAAATGCTGCAAGTAGCGATAATAAAGAAAATCCATGTATTAAAACGTATCAACGACAGTTCCATTATATACACTTATTAATTAATTTTTTATATTCCCGCTTTAATTAAGTGACATTCAAATATAAGATTAAGTAACTGATAGTCGCAAAGTTTATCTCAACCCACAAAAGAAATTACCGTTACACCCCA